CTAACCGGGGCTGGTAAAACACAGACTGCGCTCCTAAAGCTGTGCCTGGACGGTCAGTTCTCTCTGCTCCTCTCTGAACACGTGAAAGGAGATATACTTACAGACATCTTTCAACAGACCATTCTAAATCTGAATCTTAGTTAGGTCTTTCAACACATCTTTAATCATTTTAAAAGCGGGTTGTAAAAAATCACAACATAGTTCAAAATCGTTGTGGAATATCTGCAACTACTCTTACAAGCGCCCTGGCCAGGTCTGACACCCACTTGAAGCAGCACAGTCACACACACTACCCAGCTGAAGCAAAAATGACTTTCTGGCTGTTCAGGAGTAAAACACACTGCAACAGCTCAAAATAAACCCATCCAAACAGACTTTCTAACACAGCTAACAATGATGACCAAGCGGTTGGCAAAGGTTGTGTATTATACTTTGGAATCAAGGCAGGGACTCTGCAGAGGCACAAGAGAATTCCCACAAACCCAAAGCACAGGCATCATGAAGAACAAGCCTCACCAAAGGAAAAAATGAGAAGCCTATTCAAGGCTAACCGAGTCCCCAGCAAATAACGCCACGGGAGCTTGATAAAAAGAAACACTAAAATGATACTGAACTACTTGTAAACCCCCAGCCTTGTCATGGCAACAAACAACAGTTCATGGCTAAGATGAGATGTTCCGTGGTGGTGCCTCAATCCCCAATTTTTAAGAGTTAAGTACCATGGAAAATCATACGGACAGCTTATCTGGGGACAGGCAACACACAGTGCCTCAATCCCCAATTTTTAATAGTTAAGTACCATGGAAAATCATATGGACAGCTTATCTGGGGACAGGCAACACACACGGAGTGGGAGATCTCTGCACAAGCACACGAAGTTGCTATAGCACCCAGCAAATCAGTGCGAGGACTCGACGCGTAGCTTCTAGAGTCTCCAACAGCCAGGGCTGGCTAACAATGCCTCCCTTGACAGCAACATTCTCCTACCTGAGATTTCATCTGCGCAGCCTTTTCTGGGTCGACTGCCAGGACGTGCTGGTAATGGCGGATGGTGTGCAGACGGTCCTTGTTCTCAGCACGAACGTAGCGCTTCAGAGCTTGCAGGATGCGGTGGGGCTGCAGGATTTGAGGACGGGAAGAGTTCAAACCCGTTTGATTCCAATACAACTCACAGCTTTGTTACTGGACAGATCAATCGCCTGCGCTAACCTCTTAAGATATTTTCTTTTTAAATTAGGTCTGTTTGACTCGGAACACTACGCCTTATGGACACTAAACCATTTGGAGGTTTTTTTTAACCAGGCAGAAAGTTAAGTGAGTCAATTAGGAGACCCACTGCGAGGTCTTCAGCCCAAACTGCCGCGAGAGTGAAGGCTTTACTGGGAACCTACTCCCAGAACCTGCCCCGCTAGGTCACAGGCAGTCTTCTCACCAAGCCATTCCCACCTTTCACCCTACCCAGGGCTTCCCTGCTATAAAAACTCATCGCAAAGAAACTCACCCGCGGCGGGTCAGCCTGCAGGGCAGCCAGGTAGTTCTCCAGAGCAATGCGACGGCGATCGTTCAACATGGCTTCCACACGAGCCAGGTGAGTTTCCACAAGCTGCTGCTTCTCACTTGCCGCCTCTTTCTCCAGAGATTTCACCATTGCCTGGAAGTGCTGGAACAAAGAAAGGAGGCTGCATGAAATACGCTGTATGCATCAGGGTCACCTATTCTCACTCACGTAACTCTTTAGAGCAAATGGCGCCTGTCACACTGCGTGTCCTCGGCATTTACAGTCAGAGAGAAGGGCACGGACACATGCTGATGCAGATTTCATCTTTGCAAACTCCACAGAGACAATCTGCCTTCCAAAGTTCCTTCACAACCCGTTTGAAAGGTCTGAAGAGGGCACGTGGCCTTGCAGACAAAGATCGTGTTGACGCTGGGAGACCCAGACTGTACTGAACGAACGTCACTGTATTAACTCTTACCCTCACCCCTGAAATATGGGAACAGGATAGCTCCCTCAGCCTACAGCCATCAACCTGAACCAGCAAAAGTTTACAAAGGTATTGCATAGGGGATTGCTCATCAGCTCTTTCAGATCAAATCTCTATACGTTCTATTAGAAAGGTCATAACTCAACATCTCCAAATGAGCCAGAAAAGTCCATTAAGCCTTGTTACATTTCAACAGAGATGATGGAAAACTCTTTTGGACTCACAGTGGCTTACGTTAAAAAATGTAGAGAGAAAACTGTGTTCCAGGATAAAATCCAAAATGGGCTTAAAAGCTGGAGTCAGTCCCTTAGTCGTATATTGGTTTGAGGGACCTTCATACAGCTGTCCCTGCCAGAAGAGCCTGCCTCTAACAATTCCACGCTGAGAATATCCTTGATTAACTTCACAGTCTAACTGAACTCTTCTCATAAGGCAGAAGATTGGCATTTTGGCAGCAAACCAGCTTTATCTGCTGCCTAAGTGGTTTTCACTAAGCCTGCCCAAACAGGAAACGCACGTCCAGAGAGTCAGGGCCAACCCGAACCGGGCTGCGAGGCCACTCGTTAGTGCAGAACAGGCCAAAGGTCTGAAGTTACAATTTGGCTCTGCTGTCGCCATGCTTGAGGGGTGAGATAGCTTCCTAGTACTGGGCTTAGGAAAGAACCTGGCACAGTATCGGATCATCTCCAGCTTTAAGAACAAAGCACACAATTGAATCCAATCTCCTCTGAAAGGCAGCTGTTGACAGAACAGGAAAGCTGTTCTTCCAGCTCAGTCGTCTTTTGGCTTTGAATATTAGCACCGCTCGTTTCATTTAGGGAGAAGACAAAGGCCAAGCACCAGTAACTTTCCTCTTCAGATCCTTCAGCTCTTACCTGAATGAGAGTCTGCCTTTCTGCCTTGGGCAGATTTACGGCTTGGTGTTCTGCCTCCTCCCATTCCTTTTTCACCTGCACAAGAAAAGGACAGAACACATCAACAAGACCCAAATTTACATCTGATTTTCGTGAGCTAATTTGCCTTCACAGGCAGATCCTTGTACAGCCCGGCTAGGTTTTGAAGGCACAGAAGAGCTGCTGTGGGGCTTAAACCTAGCACTACTGCCCTGTGTGCAGCAAGCCAAGTGTTCCCAGTGATCCCTCTGTCCCAACACTTTGAAGAAATAAAAATCTAACTGCCACGGTGTGGTCCTATTGCAAGAATCACGCAGAAGGCTGGTGACTGGCAAGGAAGTCAGTTCACCACCCACCCGTCCAGAAAAGCACGGGCAGCAGCTATGCAGCGGAGCACTAAAGCGAGACGCTCACCCGGTCCATGCGGTTGTGGTGTCTGACCTCCAGCTGCTCCTTCGCCTTCTGGAAGCGGGCATGTTCGTTGTCATCGGCTGGGGTTTCAAAGTAGACGTCCACATCGTCAGTCGGCACTGCAAGGAGAGGGTAAAGGTGAGCGGAGGTTCGGAAACCCGTCATCCTGGATTGCACAGGACAGGTAGGGAGAGGAATCTCCATGCCCGCATAATTAACAATCTGGCAGGTCGAGTTTAGTGAACCCGCCACCTACCAGGAGTCCATTTTGGTATCTTTAAGCTGCCAATTTACTGCACACCACCAGTTAGTTACATCATCCCCAAAACACAGGAAAGCACTGCGGCAACCAGCACCTGGTCGGTCTTCGCATTAGTTCTGAGACGAGCATTATTCAGCTCCAGCAAGAGAATGACTTGGATTGCAGAATAAAGGACTTGTTTTCTCTTCCCTTTCACAGTGGCTTTGGATAGTTTAAATGCCATTTTGTGCATTAGCTGTTCGCTGACAAGCTGGCTCCAGACATCATTAATATGATTAGGGAGCCTGACAATAAATCTGCACAAAACACTACCCGGTATTTTACACTCCAACCCTACCTTCCCTACCAGATGCACCATGCAAGACTAACAGGCAATGATATCAGACGAGACAGCCACAGAAGGAGGCTCAGTGTGACAAACTGACTGGTCCAATAAACTGGACGGTTTGTATCTTTAAGACATTCAAATCCAACATGGGGAGAAATAAAATTTCAGGACCGACAGTTTCAAGCATCTGCAAAATCCACAACAGGGGCTCTGTGCTCCACACAGGGCAGTTTAGGAGACGCTGAACCACGCTTCTGTGCTACAGTTTTAGAAACTGCACATGCCAGAGCCCTTTCTGAAAGGATCTACAGCAAACACGATGCACTGCGTTGTTGCCCTTGAGCAGAGGGAGGGCAGAAAGGGAAAATTAAGGCAACCTGTCAAACCTTTTAGTAATATGAGTGGGGACAAAACCTCCAACAGGTCACTGAAAGACAGCATGCTTCAGAAAAAAAAAAAAATCTACCTCCCAGGCTGGCACGCACCTGAATCCACGAACCTTTACCCTAACTAGGGAAGGAGGGAAGAAGGGGAAAGAACTACGGCATGCAAGGGGCAATGTCAGATCAGCACGGTATTCCGGGCCTGCTCGTGGCATTTCTGAACCAAGCTGGGACACAGAGGACTCTCTTTTCCAGCCTCACATCCCTCTGGAACAGGACAAACTTTTGTACAAAAAGCTCCTGACATCCGCATCTTTTCTTTCACCACTTCAGTTAGATCAGCCCGATCTAAAGCACTTGCATGAAGGCCATTTGGTAAACAGGATTATGGCTGCATAGTCAGACTGCCAAGCCCCAGATAACACAAAAAGCCTTTCAAAAAAGCTTTAATGGTAGCTGAAGTGGAAGTGCTGGAGTTCAACAATAAGATTAATAAGAAGGTTAAAATGTTTTTGGTAGTTTCATCATCTGACATAAAAGCCAGTCGAAATTGGTGCCAAAAACCTCAAGCTCTCAAAAATGCAGGGATTGAGTCACGATTCGTGCTTCAAACCGAGCTGAAAGTGGGAATCTGATTTCTGTGCCACTTCTCTGATATCTTCCCCAAAATACAATAGCAAGAAGACGCCCACTACCAGGAGAATGGTGAGCAGCAGCCTGCTTTTCAGGACCAGCTGGTCACACATACGCACGGTAACACGACCGGGGAAAGCAAATGCTTGCTTCCATGTACTTGGAAAAAAACCCAGTTGTGCAAACAGGCAAGCTCTGTGTCTTCACAAGAGGTTAGAGACAGCCCCCGGTCCCTGCTATAGATCTGGAAGATGACAAGCCAGCCCTCAGCAAGAGCTGCAAGCCAGCGGTGAGCACAGACAGCACACGCCGAGAGCCACCTTCCCCTGGAAAGCTCACCCTGCAGACCCAGAGAAGCGGAGACAAGAGGAGACTGCTGCAAAAGGACAGACAGAACTGCTGCAGACACCAGAACCAAAGGGACGAGCTACACACGTACCCTCCCTCGACCTAGGCAAGGAGGAGGAGACACCAAACGCCAGACAGACAGAGGCCAGCCGCACAAGGGCCAGAGGGAGGCAGGACTTACTCATCTTTTTACACACAGCCATACAATACTCCTCTGACTCAAAATTGTTCCTGTTGCCTCCGCAGCCTCCATATATAAAGCGAATGCATTTTCTCTTGTTAGGGTCGAAGTACCAACGAGGCATCACAGCCCGGCAGGGCCCTGTCATCGCCTCCTGGGAGCAGACAGCTGTGTGGAGACGGGTTAGAACATGAGCTAGTGAGGAGCACAAGGCCTCGCCGACCGACTTACACAGAGCAGCGGTGCCTCTAGTTCACACCTCCTTCTGGGGCACCAGCACCGGCCTCAGCATCGCTGCTTCACCAACCAAAGGGCTTCTGTCAGTTTTGGGAGGGGGGTTTAACACTGCGAAGCATCCATCGCAAGGCGCAGCAGCGGGCTACCCGAGCGGTGGTCCCAGCACGGAGCGCTCATCTCTGAGAGCGATTCCTCCTCAGCTAGAGGCTGAAACAGCAAGGATCTGTCTTGCTGATGCCACAGCGCTACGCCTCGGGTGTCCCAGGGGTAGGGCCTCCACCGCATAAAACCAACATGATGGAAAGAAAACCCCATCAGGGCCGCTTAAAGCGTTCAAAGATGCCCCGTTCCGCTGCGCTCTGCCTGGACAGACACTTCACATCTTAAAGGCGAGGTGTACGAGCAAGTGAAAAGGCAGGCTAAGCAAAAGGAACACGATCGCCATGGCAATCTCAGCTGCTAGGTTTTTCGGTTTTGCAACATCTATATGCTAAATATTGAAACTGCAGGTAGCCACGGCACGTGGACTGCTTCACAAGCAGCAGGGAATACAAGCAGCTGGGCTATTCTGAGGCAAGAGAACAGCTACGGCGCGTAAGTTAGCAACTGTTTGTGGTACTTCAGGGGGAAAAAAGGCTGTGTACCCCCAAAACAGACACCCCAACCACATTGTTTCAAGCCTGTTTCAACACCTGCAGATCTCTAACAGCCCTGTACGTATAGGAGCTAAGCCTTGTTTCAGTGAGTAAAATTATCTGCAGCATGCTGGCGTTGTACCAAAACGATGCAAGAACTGCTGGCAATGATTCAGTGATCTGTAGCTAATTGAATTTCACTCCCTCTCCCCTCCTCCTTCCTCTGCAGACACTTCTACACGTAAAGTATAGGGCACCGTAGAACGCTGAGGCACCACACCATCAGCAGATGCCCTCTGCAATGGCACCCACCACTTAACAAAAGCTACCACAAGTATAGTATAGATTACTACTGCACTAAGTATATATTGCTCATATAATAAAAGTGGGCCAACTGCGTTGGCTGACTTTCTTTCATCAGAGAAGGGTTTATGTGAAGGCTATTAAGGCAGCACCATGTATCTTTCTCAGCTTTAAGAGGCCAGATGGCACCTTTATGCCACCCTCTGCAGAGTACGGCCCGCCATTTTAAGCTTCCTTTTCCTAAGCTGGTATAAAACACAAATTCCAAGGTAACCACCCAAAACTATGATTTCAAATTCTCAGTGTACCCCAAATTCCTCTAAGATTTTTCAAAATGAGCCTATGCACGTACGGTTTTCTGACTCGACAGTGCACCTTCACGAAGGTGCTCGTGCAACGCGCCAGACACCGGGCTTCCTGCCAGCAGAGCTGCTGTTTATCTGGAAACATATGGCCCGTGCTCTCGAGAGTTAATTTCCACACTTGAAACATAAGCATCATCAGCTTTCCTCTGTTTGCTAACTTCTCTGGCAAATAAAACTTCCAAGTGGTGTTTATTGACTTGATCGAAAACCCGTCACCAACTGACAGCCACCAAGAACGCTCGCAGGGAAGCAAGAGGCCTCCAGGCTAGAACGCGTCTTACATTTCATATCGCTGCTGACTTCTTTTTCGGGAACAGCCTTGTCGCTGCTAGGCTCTGTGGGGGTCTCTTCATTGTAATCGTCAACTTTGTAGCTATCATAATAGTAATCACGATCTTCTACCACCTCCTCCTCCTCCTCTTCGCCTTCGTCTTCTCCATCCTCATCTTCCTCCACGGCTGTTCCTGTGAAGTCTTCTACACCTGCCTCTGTAGGGAACTCGCTGAAGGGATACAGTTCAGTTAGGGGGTAAAAGTTAAGGCTAATCACTTCGCAGCCAACCTCTGACGTACCAGAATAATGATTCTCTTATCAATTGGTCTAGAATCTCAGGAGATGGGAAAAATAAATGTACTGGCTATTGATCAGCCCCATCAACGGCAGCAACGGGACTTCGCTCCTTACAGACACGCCTGCTGTGAGAGGCAGAGCTTCTCCACGCCCCTGACTTATTGGGAGTTTCCTCGTATTCTCTCATCAGCTGCTTTTCAATATGCAAAAGCCTACCGTATTTGGGGGACTGTAGCAACCAGGCAGCCTTTCTGACTGTCTACGGATGAAGGGAGGGGGGCTGTTCAGCTCCTGCAGTAACAGGAGCTGTGCAAAGCCATTTGTCCTTCTGCAAGGCTTTTTCAGGCTCAGGAGACTCCTTGGGGAAACTCAAAAGCATGGAAATTCTCATTTCAATCCTCGCCCATAAAAGAGTCACTGTGTGAAATATTCACATACAGCAGCTTCACATAGAATCATAGAATGGTTTGGGTTGGAAGGGACCTTAAGGATCATCCGGTTCCAACCCCCCTGCCATGGACAGGGACATCTTCCACTAGACCAGGTTGCTCAGAGCTCCATCCAACCTGGCCTTGAACACTGCCAGGGAGGGGGCAGCCACAGCTTCTCTGGGCAACCTGTGCCAGGGCCTCACCACCCTCATGGGGAAGAATTTCTTCCTGGTATCTATTCTAAATCTGCCCTCTTTAACATCTACGCCAATAAGAACCCTACCTTTTATAAAGGTCATAGTCCTCATCCTCGTCTTCATCCTCTTCCTCTTTGGACAGCGCCTCATCCACAACCTTCGTCTGAGGACAACACACATATTCTGTTCCGTGGAACTGGTCTACTCCACAGGGCAGCAGCATGCCGTAACTGTGCAGGATCATCCCTTCTGTCAGACAGGCCTGGAAGAGGAGCCCATTCACATCAGTTTAGCAGCACGCTCTTGCTTTGGATCAAAGTTTGCCTACCATAGGTCCCAAGATGCCACCAATGGTCTACATTTCACAGCAAAAAAGACAACAGCAACACACGACTTCAGTCTAAATATCAAAGGAAAATGGATTTGAAACGTGAGCTTAAGCACAATCCCCAGAAAAGTTCCGGATTCGGAGGCGTGCAGTGCTTCCTGGTGTTAACGTGTCCAACACCCCCCAGCCCCTGACAATCTGTCAGCCTGGCTACGTTCAGGAAAAACAGCTCGAAGTTTCGTGCCAACTCAAGGGAGGGAGCACTTGAAAGCAACAGAACTGCTGTTTGCTTTTCTGGGCTGGCCATTTCATTAAGCTTTATCTATTAAACTTTACATTGGAGTCAGTGAATAATCGCTTAAATGGACTTTGTGTCAAGATTCTTTTAACATGCTGTAGATGAAAATCAATCAGATAATTCAAGAAAAAGCCAAATGCAAACTGTGATTAGACATTATGTCTATACCCTTCGCTTAAGCGAAGGAAATATATGGCTTTGAGGTGCCCCAGAAAAGAATGAGGTAAGAAAGGCTGTATTATGTACATCAGAACCCTTTGTGTTCTGCTTTGTTCCACGACAGATGTAAAATGAGCCAAGTATTTCTGGAAAAGTTCTCCACCTATGCTGAAAGCAAGCGATTTTTATATTTGCTAGACGTTAACAAGTTTATCCAAAATGAAAAGGCTATTTCTCTAGCACAGCTTTATTTAGACGGGTTTTTGCTCCTGGGATTTTAAAGAAATAGGAAGTTTAACTGGCGCACCCTTAACCTCATTTTTACGAGCAGAATCACAACTAAACATCGGGTTGCTGTTTCTACAAAATGTAAAATCTGTGCATACGCTCTTGTTTTTATTACCCCCAGCTCAAATGGGCGTGCAGAGAATTTGCAACATTTCTGCTAGTCAGATTAAAAAAAAAAAACCACCACCACAAAAAAGCCCACGGGCTAGATTTATTCTGAGAAGATAATCCATCTCTTATGTAAAACCTCCACTAATCAGTCACCACGGAACTCAGACTGTCCCCAGGCAAGCACTGCCAACCAAATCCCCTGCAGCAGCAGGTACATTAACGCAAAACGTGCAAGAAAAATCGGAAGCATCCTCCGAGCGCTGTAGCTCTCTACCCTGGAAAGACGGACGAGCCGCTGGTTGAAGCAATATCCTAAAGACCTGATTTCAGCTCCCAGCTCCCTCCTAGAGGATGGTCTTTGGCAAGGTACTTAGGACAGCTTTTCACGAGGGAAGAGTAGCTCTGCTATCTACACAGGTTTTTTCAGTCGCTGGGGTACTTTTACATTTTTATTTCATTGCTCTCTGCCTCAGTCCGCAGGCTGCAACACAGCAATAACAGACCCCAGCAATAAACACTGTTATGCTCCAACACTACAAGCATCCAAGCAGACAGAGCCAGCATAAACGTTCCTGTTACCTCTTTCGCCACCGTGTGCCAGTGCTGATGGCTTTCACACACCCCCATCCGCTCCTTGTGGAAGAACCGGCACTTCTCTGGCACCAGGAGGACATCGCTCACGAACTCGCCCACTGAAAAACAAGAAACGTCCACAGGTCGCTCGTCCCACCGCACGCGTCCGGCTCCCAGCAGAAAACAAAGCCAGCAGCAGAAGTCCCAGCAAAGGACCCTTCGTTGCAAGTGCCTTAAGTCTGGTACATTCCTAGTGGGGACAGGCCAGATCAGCAGCTACCTCTGAACATTTACAGAAAAACGGAGCCTTGAAGCTTCCAAGGTAAAAAACAGGAGTAGGGGCTGATGGCTGAAACATTATGCAAACCCTAAGGCTGTACCGAAGGCAAAGTTTACCATGCCAGTTAATAAATAGTTGTTCGTGGAACAGACAGGATTGACCAGAGAGATTTCACGCAAATCTTGGAAAAGATTGCATCTGCACACGGAAGTTTTCAAACCACTTCATCATCCATTTCTAAACGAGCTGCGTCGTATCAAAGCTGGTTCACGCTGTCTGCTGCTGTAACAGCTTGGAAAGTTTTAGGTGCCACGAGTGTTATCTATGTTTTCAGTATCTGGGCTTCTGAGCAAGTCTGGTTTGGTTTGGTTTTGTTTTGTTTCCAGATGGTTTAATTCAGGACCGACTGCAGTACATTCCCTGACTCGGACAGCCTGAACCAAAAACACACAGAGCTGGGAAAAAAAAACCTCCCCCCCCCCCCCCCCCCCCCCCAATAAAAGCAGAAGCAGAGTCAGCAAATGCACTGCATTCCAACATTGAGATAACCACAGCCTCACCAGCATGATGAAGTTTTGGCACCATCTTAAAACCAGACTTTTGCTTTTGAGGAAGGCAGGAGAGAGAGAGAATCCATCTGCTCTACAGACTGTGTTATTAGTTGGACTTCCAAGCTATCTAGCCTCCATTTCCACCACAACTCAGTTTGGTATCAGAACTATACGAGCATTACTTTCTGTGCGTAGCCCTCAAGTCCTAACAAACACTGCCACTGGCATCCAGAATGTGAGATTTTCTCCAAGCTGAGATTTTTCTTCCTTGCAGATTTAAATGCCACATCCAGTAATCTTAAAATAGGGAGATATCTTGATACTCTGAGCAGGCCAGGAAAAGATCTTCAGTCCCAGTGTTTCAAAGCACCACCCTCTGCACGTATGACTGGCAGCTTTAGGAGTCGTTTGTTAACATTTGAGAAAAGCTTTTTAAGTCAAAGGCCTTTTCTCACAGAGTCTCCAGGGAGCAGAACTGTTTGTCCAACCAATCTTCGACACTATCTTTTCTATATAAATTTTAGTATTTTGCGTGATTAATTTTTTTGCAGCCCCTTAGTCTTGATACCAAAGGCTACGGACACTTCTCCTACGCACTATAACCAAGTCAAGTAGAGTTCAGGGACAAATTATCTGATGACAGTGCAAGATAATGAAATCAACTAGCATTCATCATCCCTGTTCATTTAGTTAAAAATTTAAACTAATAGACACAACAGAGAAATCATGTTCCCCGTTTTGTTATCTCAAAACAGGACAGAATTTGGAGTTAATAATCTTTCCTCCTTCCCTCTCAGGAGAGGTTTAAATGCTTCTGATAACCAAGCTAAAACCGACCAAACTTTAAAATCAAGAGACTGTGTGGTTCTGGGAACTGAAGGGAGAAGACTCAAACTGATCAAATGCCCTAATCAGCAACAAAACCCAGCCACTACACAGCTATTTTGAAAAACACTGAATCCTAGCACCGTCACGTGAGACACACAGAAGGTTCTCCCAGTCCACCCACGAACTGGAAAACCCTTACATGCTGCACATTAACGGACACCTTCCCCACTCATGGCCAGTGCTATCCAAATAGCAAAATCCTCTCCCTTTTCAGATCAGAGCAGACGTAAGAGGTGTTCCCATGCCACCCAGCAGCTCAGCCAGAACTGCCAGCAGTTTGCCTTTTCACACCTCACCAAGCTCAGCCCTGCTCCCATCAGCCTTTTGTCACCTTTCTTTTACAGTTCGGTGAGAGGGCTAATGGGTTCTCCTCTTCCTCCCCCCTTCACCTTTGAAATACAAAAGGGCTTTCATGGGTGGGGGGAGGCAGGAGGAGGTTAAACGTGGTATGACAGCAAGAGCCTACCTCAAGATAGCCTGTGCTTTAAGGCAGCAAGGGAGACAGAAGCAGGAACTGCAAAACAAAAACACGGTTCAACGAGAATCAAAAAGTCATATGTACCCCAGAGAAACACATCACCCATTTACAGCAGGCCATCTGCGGACTGCTGAAGTCAACGAGAAGGTGTTTTATGCATCTACAGACCACCGGGCTGCAGCTCGGCTCTGAAGACCAAGGCTGCCTCGCAGGCTGGGCCGAACAAGTCAAGAACATTGTGCAAGACGCTAATCACAGACTTTAACAGATAGTTTAGCGCTTATCAAATTTTAGGGCAGTGCCACTAAAATCAGCTTATTTTTCAGCTGGAGAATAGGCTTGGGGGAGGATTATTTCTAAAAGAGATGACTCCTCATAAATCCAGAGGTCTTGCTTTCATCTTTATTTCCACAAGTTCTCAGTATAATCAGCTGGGTTTGGCTGCTTCTCAAACTCCAACTTTCACGTCTTTCACCCAGGACGCACCCACACCACGCTGCCTTTCTTACGAAGCGCTTTCTGATCCCGTCTAGCAGAGGGTATTATGTACAGGAGGACTGTACCCTCACGGTTCTGCAGCCTTGCTTGTGTCCTCCTGTGTCAAACCACACGCTCACCTGAGATACGGACACGAACTACGAAAACCGATTCCCACCGAACGCTCCCAGCAATCAGGCTCTCCGAGACCGCACAAGCCTTCTCGCAAAACAAGTCTTTTCCAGTGGATAACCAAAAAGAGATTCAGCCAGCTGAGACTAAGCTTACTAGTAAGCACCCATGCGGTGCAGCAGAGTGTCAGGCACAGGCTACAGGTCAAAAGCCGCAAGGTAAACGAGCTAAACACACGGCCCGATACAAGCGGGTGGACAGGTTCTGGAAAGCACCATGAAATCCATCACAGTTTAGCTCATATTCTTTCACAGTTCAAAGTGGGGACGTGGGATCCAGCTGCAAGAAGCAGGGCCTCTTTCAAACAGCGAAGTTTAAATATAGTCGTTGAAATAGAATAGAGATCTCTCGCCAAGACCAAAGCAGGAAGCCTGAACACACTGAGCATTTAAGTCTCCAAGGCAACAAAATATTAAAGCTCCACAAAAATAGGATCAGAGCATTAAGTCCCAATGTCTTTGTGATACTCAAATACAATAGCCTTCACGTTTTTATGGCAGTTGCAGAGAGAATGGGGATTTCTTTTTCACGCCAGGCACCATTATTCCACCACAGCTGTTATCAAGCTGTCGATCCGTTCGAGAAAGGCAGAGTTCCATCTTGTGGAAATAAAAACGCTTAAGTGGAAGCTGGACGTGGAAATGGCAACCTGATCTGAGAGAAGCCTCATAAACCCCGTAAGACGCCAGGAGGCAATTCTTTGCTCCTCCCACCAGAATGCACCAACACATCCCAGCACGCACTCACCCAGGCACTTGTAGGGTACGACTATATGAGTGTGGCCTTTGCACTGCTTCTTCCCTCGCTTGCACCAGCTGTCGATGCTGACGGGTTGGTTGGCTTCCACAACGTTCGTAATCTGGAGGTCTGGATACATCTGTTCAACAAGATGCAGAGAGAGGTTTCTCTCCAGAAAGGACAAAGAACGTGCAAAGTGGCTCCTAACCAGAAGCAGCGAGGCTGATTCTCTACACAAAAACAAGTTCACATTGGCCCACGGACACACATTCTCTCCTGGATCAAGCTTACAACAGCTGAAGACATAAAAAAGCCCCCAGCTGTTTGTCACATCAGGCTTGAGAAACAGAACATGTCATCGCTTCTCTGCGGCAGGAGAAAGCCAGGTTGGGGCAAGAGCCTTCATCAGCATCAAGCTGAGGAGCCCGGCTTTGCGAGGTAGCGGAGAAGCATTTACCTGTTCTGTTCCGTCTGGTGCACCACGATACCCTCTGCAAGAGGGCAATCACCAACACACAGGGTTCAGTAACGCCTTCAGACTCTCGCCACTTGTCAAGCTAATGATGGACCCACCTCCTCAGGTTTCCTTGTGCCTGCTCCACTGACGGTGGATTAATACGATCCCTGTGTCCTGCTCGAGTTCTCAAGTCCGGATACTGACTTATATTTAGGCTTCCGCTACGTGAATCAAATGTAGCCCCAGTTATATCAGCCTTGCAAAACAGTTTTAAACATTTTCCAGTCCAGACATGGTGTGCTCTATCACTTTCCCATTTAAAAAACCCATTCCTTGTGGTATCTCACGTGCCTCCCACCTCAGAGGAGCAACTAAAAACACTTACCAAGGCCAATATGCTACAGTGTACCTGAAGCACACCAAAAGGACATTATTTTTTTTTTACAATGAAGCATGGGGAGCCTAAAAACATGGTCAACATTTTGATGGGAATATTTTTCTAGTATTCTGGCCGATCTGAACGCATCTCTGAGAACAACACAGCCACATTCTAATTAGAACAGGTGTCAGGCTCCATTTTGCCCAAGACGGAACAGATGCCGGTTAGCTGGCTCAGAGGCAGAACACATGAAGAAACCCACGCAAACACAGACAGGGATACCTCTCTGACTTACAGACCAAGTCACCTTCTGTGGCAGCGTAAGCTGGTCTAAATCAGGGGTAGCTCCTAAATCCCACTGCAGCGTCCTCCCTGCTCTTCCCGGGCAGTGCAGTGAGACAGCTCAGGGAACTGAGCTAGTCAAACGCAAGCTACCCCCTCGCAGGGTTCATTTGCAACTAAATGGCTAAATTGGAATCCAATTCCTTCGCAGCAGCGAAGATTCAGGATCACAGAGAAAAACTCACCTCCTGGCAGTACTGCAGAATCTCTTCCTTCGCTCCAAAGCAGCTCTTGGTCCCAGAAGTGTCAGGTTCCCATTTCCCAGTCTGGATATTCACATGCATATTTAGCTTCCCGCAGAACATGGCGATCTGAGGCTCTGCCACCGCAAACCCTGTCCCAGCGTTGGCTGCGAGCGCCTGCGAAGACAAACGAAAACAAAACACGTCGATTGCTTTATCTGATGGAAAGCAGAACAACTCAGAGAACCAGAAACCCCCTGGCATCTTCTCAGAGAGCTCCCGCTTAATCCGGATTAGCAGTGGGGGCTTGCAAACCTATTTCGTAACCATGTTGCTTAAAGCTGGTGAGCCCACACCAAGTTTTCACCAGTAAGGTGTTTATTTTTCCAGACTCTGCTTTTATTATTGCAACAACAGCTTACCAAAACAAAAAACAAGAGTAATTCACTCTTCAAGGCTGCGCCCACAAAGGCTAAAACAAATGTCTGAAAAACTTCAACCCATATTTGAAGATAAAGAACTAATACTAATAACTTTTGGCAGGACACTTCTGTGAGGTTATACACAAGGCATACACTGCTACTACTAATAAAACGACTGCTTCCCACTGCAAGAATGCTGCTCGGAGTTCGAAGCCATGTGTTCCTCCTGAAATCTTCAAACACTTGGGACAGAAACACCCAAGCTTCTTGCCCAGACCTACAAGTAAAGATGATTTCTGCTGAGTCAGAAAAACGTAGCTGTTGCAACCAGCTCCTCGCCGCCCGCTGTCTCTCATTCCCCCCCTGCGCCAGCAGACAAAAACCCAGCCCCACGTTCGGGTCAAACTGCAGACCGATCAATGAAAACAAGGTCAGGCTCCCTTCTGAAACCTTGCTGGCTGACCAAAAGAAGAAAAAGGGGATTAAATTCAATTGCAGAGTTGGGGTTTTTCTGAAAAGACTGAGTGGATGCCGGGAGCTGAACATCCTCTCCCTACATAACTACTCGCTGTTGTCAAAGAAAAAAAGAAAAGAGGAGGTATGAGGCAAAAACCAGATGAACTCCAAAATCGCAAGCTCTTTAAGGTGTTTAGGGGAATGAAATCTATTTCAGCTACTCAAGACAAGGCAGCTTGGACACAGCAATACACAGAGGCTTCAAAGGGCCCTGCTGCCCCTAAGCTGCTTTTTTCCTGGCAGGCAGCACTACCCTCGGCCACCAGCCCTGCCTTCATATTTCACCTTTCCAGCACTCAAAAATGCAGACATTACCATGGGCACTGGTCACTCCCTACTGCCCGCAGACCCCCATCAACTTATATCAATACGTGTAATGCCTAAAGCAAATAAAGCAGCAAAGAGAAGAATTCAACTGGACAACCCCTGTGCCCAGCTCCCAGTTGCTGGGTATCGGGGAAAAAACTAACTCCATCCTAATTAGCCCACTTTTCCCCCTCCCTGTTGACACAGGGAATCACCACCTGGAGATAAGACACTCCACCACCCAAAGGGTCAAGGATTGTTTAGCGCTGAACCCACGGCTAGTGCTTGGGGGGCAAGCCCAACTGCAGACACAAAAGCATAAATTCACATCCCAACTTGAGAAAAATTACGCCTTGAGCTTGAAGAACCATTCAACTGCACATTACTTAAGAGAAAGTCTTACACAAGCGGCTGCTTACAAATATCTGCAGGGTGGGTGTCAGGAGGATGGGGCCAAGCTCTTTTCAGTGGTGCCCAGTGACAGGACAAGGGGCAACGGGCACAAACTGAGGCACATGAAGTTCCATCTGAACATGAGGAAGAACTTCTTCCCTCTGAGGGTGACAGAGCACTGGAACAGGCTGCCCAGGGAGGTTGTGGAGTCTCCTTCTCTGGAGATATTCCAGCCCCGCCTGGACAAGGTCCTGTGCAGCCTGCTCTGGGTGACCCTGCTTTGGCAGGAGGGTTGGACTGGGTGACCCACAGAGGTCCCTTCCAACCCCTACAATTCTGTGATTCTGTTCACTCTCACCCCTTCACCCACCAGACGCTCACCAGAGCAAATCTCAGCACAGATCACAAAGCAATGAAATACTGAACTGTACCTAACAGATACCGGCATCGGTGCCCTGGTAATGAAACGCTCCCCGGTTCCTACACACTGTGAAGCTCAGCGTAGGTACATCTGCTGTACCCTGCTCTGACGGAGAGGAGACAGTTACACACTTCAGGTACAGGAGGACTTCTGATGAATACTCGGAGGCTGGGTAACAGGGCGCAATAACTTCGTTCTTTCAGCCATCAACGCATTTAATGAACACGTGCTTCTGACAGGCGCTGCCCGAGCCCACCTGGTGAAACCTGGGCTCTTGCATCGCCCTCCTCACTGCTGTATCGTTTCAGAAGGGCAAACAGATGCGGAATGATCCCCCATAACTCTCTAAACACACAAATTTTCTAGGAGGGTCTCTTTATCTTTCTCCAAACACACACCGCTTTGGTACCAACCACCACTTTCCAGAGAGCACAAGACTTGACGTGTTGAAGGAAACAATCCGCAGCGCAATTTTGTTTTATGACAACACCGCAACCACATCCAAGCACCGAGCTGAACTCTGAACAAAAAGAAATGCACGATCAAGCATTAACCCTTGCGAGAACAATACGGCGCATCAAAAGAGAATAAAATATACATGTTATGAAAGGCTTGGAGGATCATTAGCATCGCCCATGCTTGGAATCTGGGTTCTTCAAAGCCAACTCCACAAGCACACAGCAAAACAAGGTAACTGCATAAGCAGGCGAGGTGCAGGCTCCATCCCGAGCGGCACAAACATCCATCAGCAACCCGTGCACAGCAGCTCTGGCAGGAGCAAAGCTCCTGTTCAAACACATACCGACCTCCTGAAATCATGACCACCCCCTGTTTACATACTGACGCCAGCTCCTGTTTATTTTCGCCGTCCCTCCGGCCTGACACCTCGGCACGGTGGCGAAGGTATCGTTCCTCCTCCGCGGATTGCTCACATAGTTTGCATATCAGTCGGGCGCTGTTGCCGTAGCTACCAGAACTGCTCAGCCCCAACTCGCAGCTGAACAAACGAGACTAATTACCCGCTTGATTTCACCACTTTTAATCAAATGGAAGAAGCCTTTTCTTGAATTGCACGGTTGAGTAAGTTAATGAACTTTGATATGCACAAGTCGAATCTTTAACCCCGGGACCCGCAAGGTGAGATTTTTGAGTAGAGGGCTTCAGTTTTCCACCCCTGACAATCCGCTCCAGCCACCAAGAGTTTCACACTTCTGTCTCATCCTACCTGTAATGAGAAAACTCGGCACCGCAAACATCACCCTTGTGATGAGGCCACACCTTTAACCCTGCTACTTAATCAGTGAAGAAAATCAACTACAAGAGTTTGGTAGGACAAAGTCCTTTTCTGTCGCTCTCCACAATGGCCTTCGGTGTACCAAAAATCAGAGCAGATCACCCAGGCTGACGATGCCCGAGGTCAGCGAGGCTGCATTCAAGCACCGTCCTGCAAAAGCAGCGTTGAGGAACATGCCAGCCAGCACGAAGCTTGGGATAAAGCCATGCCCTTAGTTAAGCTCTTCAGTGCTTCAGAGAACTCACCCGTTCCACATTGCAGAGGGATGAACGAACTGACAGCACGTTATTTTCTTCAGGAATTTCGCAGCCATAAATGGAAGCAGCCGCCTCTTTTGGTGCCGAGGAGCAGCTATTCAATCTCTTAAATAAGCAGACAGCTCGGGAGAGGCACCATACACATAATGGAAGAGACTTCATCCAGTTGTGTACGTCCTCAGCGAACATTATTTCAGTAGCTATTATCCTATTAATATATATCCTTAACCCGAAAGCAAGATGAATGTTACTTGGGAAAAGACTGTTAAATAAACCATCGCTTTCCTCACTGGCACTTGCATTTACAGGATGTTTCATGATAAATTCCACTCTGCCTTTTGGTGTAATACTGTAATCCACTTGGCTTTCCAATACCAAAGAAGTATTTGATTCCACAAACACATAAATCTCTGGCCAGTCAATGTCAGTTAAATTCCTCACCCTGTCATGCAGTGCCTGATTTACAGCCCCGAAACACTGGAATTCAAACCTCTAAATCTGCTTCTGAAATGATGGAAGTGTCTCTGGCCGAGTATCCAATCTTTTATTTACTCCTAGCCTCTTCCGCTTGCGGCAGAGGGTTTGATCAGCGAGCTTTACTCACCCGGAGGCCTCGGTTCTATGCTCTAGAAAAGGGTCACACCTTTTCTTCCTGCAAGTATCTACCATCTCTAAGGAGGGATGCAAGGCTAGAGAGATTATAGGCACCACACAGCACAAGGATGTTCTTTACAGAGGATTTTTTGTGATTTTAAGTTGTTTCTGCTCTCTTGGGTTCCTCTACTTCAACGCTGGGAACAACACCACATAGCAATTCCTCTCAACTTATGTAAAATCAGGAGTATTTCACATCTACCCCTGAAGAGTATGCATTACAGTGCAGTTCAGGTTCAAAAAGGCACAACCATGAAAAATACACCCATTTTCCTTGCCCTGGATTTCCAGGATCTGCTCAGCCTCATCACAACGTACCTTCCGGAGCATGCTGTCTATTCAGCTCCCTACTGAATGCTATCCAGGAAAGCCTTCTGGCATGCTGCTGGGGACTTCAGGGTAGCAGCGTGATCGGAGTTTCTCTTTTGTGAAGAGTTGCTGTTCGTTATATTTCATAGAAATGAGTCCCTGAGAGCTTGCCTTTATAGCACCAAGGTATTGGCAAAACGTCAAATTTAGCTAGATTCTGAATTTTCCATGAGGTCAGACATCACAGTAACCTTGCCCATCTGATCAGGTTAGCCAGAATACGAGTCTTTATTCCAGCAAAACCAGAGTGGATGGGAGTTTACCAGGACACCTTAGATTCCCTTCTCATTTCTGCTACAGAGCTGGTCACACAGCATATCGCTTCTCACAGAATCACAGAATGTTCAGGGTTGGAAGGGACCTCTGTGGGTCATCTAGTCCAACCCTCCTGCCGAAGCAGGGTCACCTACAGCAGGCTGCACAGGACCTCGTCCAGGTGGGTCTTCAATATCTCCAGAGAAGGAGACTCCACAACCCCTCTGGGCAGCCTGCTCCAGTGCTCCGTCACCCTCAGAGGGAAGAAGTTCTTCCTCATGTTCAGACGG